ACTGTGGATCTTACGACTTTGTGATTATTGGAGGCGGTACAAGTGGCTCTGTTATTGCTAACAGATTATCAGAAAATGGAAATTGGAGCGTTCTTGTTATTGAAGCTGGAAATTTTACTGATAATGGCTTTATTCAATTCCTCAGATATTACGCACTTCACAGCTTTTCAGATTATAGTTGGGGATATAAAAGTACACCACAAACTAGCGCATGCTTAGGTAAAGTATTTATTTCGAATAGCATTAAGGTAAACATAAAATTTTTATAGCATATAGAAAATTTCTATACGCTAGTATATAACCGTGTGTCAGCCAAATGGAATAAATTAGCTAATAAATAAATGAGGGAGTATTCGAAAAAACGATCGAACACCTCGATTAGTATTTATAGTTGCGCATTTTTTTCCATAAAACTTTTTAGAGTAGAATATATATATATATATATATATATATAATATATATATATATATATATATATATATATATATATTATATATATATATATATATATATAGAACACCCAGTATATTAATTAGTTTTTATATTCCTCAGATCATTTTAGACATTTTTGAATACAATGTCCTATACCTATCTTTGACTGTTTCGGAAATATTAAGTAAAACACAAAAATTCACATTTAGAAAAGAAAATTATATAATTTGAAGTTGTTTTGTTTGAAATGAAACGTGTTTTGTTTTCTGATGAGTGCACTTATACTCTTCACGGTCAGGCTAATCGGCAAAATTGCCGCTATTGGTCCAGGGACAAATCCACACTAGATGAGAAAAGGCAATACTCAATTCCCTGAGAAGGTTAACGTGTGAGCAGGAATTATTAAAGTTCATATCATAGGTCCCTTTTCCACAGATGGCAACTTGAATGGCGACAATTATTTAGCACTACTCCAAAATAAAGTAGTGTACACGTTGGCCAACTTGTATCCTGATCCAGGAAACCCACAGGTTCCAGCGAATATGATATGGTTTCAATAAGATGGAGCACCATTCCACTATCAAATCCATGTCCGGCAGTACCTCAACCAAATATTTCCAAATCGGTTTATAGGAAGTCGAGGATCGATGGAATGGCCATCATGATCCCCCGATTTGTATTGAAGTATTGTATACAAAACTAAACCCACTGACTTATGTGACTTACGAAGACGAATAACGCTTGCAATCAGATCGATTACATCTGAGATGTTGAGTAACATTAGAAGAAATTTCTATTCATGGTTAGGGTGTTGCCAAGACGTTCGTGGGGAGCATTTTGCACATCTGCGACATTGACATTATTGTTTAGATTTGTATTATTTAGAAGTTTTTGAATATGTTGTAACGACTTTCGACAAATAAATAATTTTCTTTTCTAAATGTGATATTTTGCATTTTATTTAATATTTCCGAAACAGTTAAAGATAGGTATAGAACAGTGTAATTAAAAAATGTCTAAAATGATCTGAGGAATCTAAAAATTAATTAATATACAGAATATTCTATGTAAAATAAACAACTTCGAATTGGCCACAGTTATCTGATACACCCCGTATAAAAAGTTTACAATTTTTCTACTAATACTCGTTTTTGGGAAACGAAATAAGTATCAGATAAATCGAAATTGTGAAATAGATAACTAAAATATTTCTTTCATATTGTCCTTAATTTAAAAATTCTCACATTCGTAAATTTACACAAAAAAATTAAAATATATTATCTATAATAAGTAAAACATTTTCTTTATTTAACATTATATAACATTCTTCATATCCGAAATGGGACTGAACATTTTAGAGCTACAGTAACACACTGTACTGTCTTTTATTAATTCTAATTTATTGTTCTTATTTTAATTTACTAAAGGTTCAATATTTATAACACTTACAAACTTAATTTATTTAAAGTTTATTTTTAATAATTTATCTTACAATAATAATTTATTATTACGATCGTTACATTTAAATACCCGATCGCGAGCTTCTTTTGACTGATTTCCTCAATGAAAATCCCCCGTTATTTATATGAAACCAGCTGCTAGACTAGAAAGATCTGGCGATGAATCGATGACCTTCCACCCATTAGACGACAAGGTGACTCATGGACTGATCTTTCAGCGAACGACTAGAGATTTCTGCCGGCTGGTAAACAGGTTTTGCAACTGAGCGTCGAAATTACTAGAAATATAAAAGAATTAGTCATAATATATTAACAGTTTTATACGCCATAATATTTATTATCGTAACAACACTAAAAATGTTCCTCGAGCCGTTACCACGTTACTGTGGATCATGATTGCTAATAATAAAGACAACCATATGCTGTCAATGGTTTCTATCTCTAGTGTTAGCAGATAGAACGGCAAAATTAATACTCGATTTGGTAAACAGACTGTAACAGTCTTACACTACTCTTTAGTTGTTTTAAAGAACCAAAAAATTCAGATCATTCTTCTCCAACACTACATCACAAATGCATGATCTGGCTGACTGAATAGTCCAAGTTTCTGCACCGTACACAAATACTGAGTATGTTAATTATTGGACTTCTTCTTCTCATGGCGCCGTCTCCTTTCGAAGGTTGGCGATCCAAATGACAATTATGGTTTTGGAAACTGCTGCGCGAAAGATTTCTGCGAATGAGTGGTCGAACCATCTCCTTAGGTCTTTCAGTCATGAGTTCTGGCGTCTTACTACTGATCTTTTGCACTGTACTTTTCCTTCTAGTATTCTTCTTCTTTCAGTGCCTATTCGTTCCGAATATTGGCAATCATTCTGGCCATAATTATTTTATTGGCTGATGCTTAAAGTATAACTTGAAGTAATTCATATTTTTTGTCTCTCAACACATGACCCAAGTATTGCATTTTCCTCTCTTTGATTATTCTTAGTAATTCTTTTTGTTTACACATTCGACAAAGTACCTCAACATTAGTAACTCTTTGTGCCCATGGAATTCTCAACATTCGTCTGTATATATACATATCAAAGGCATCTATTCTTTTTTCTATTTAAGATTCCATTGTCCAACTTTCACAGCCATACAGTAAAACAGAAAAAAACGTAACATCTAAACATTCGGATTTTAAGCTGCAGACTAAGGTCTGATCTTGTAAAAAAGGTTTCCATGCTCATGAATGTTTTCCTTACTTGTTCGATTCTTGATAGTATTTCTTTTTTTGGATAACACTGACTATTGATATTTGCTCCCAAATATTTTATGAAATTTACCTGTTCTATCATTTGCCCCTTGTAATACACATGTACGTTTATTGGTGTCTTTGAAAATACTAAAGTTTTAGTTTTGAAAACGTTTAGATGCAAACCGAAGATTTCGCTGTGGTGAACTACCGCATTTATTATATTTTGTAGATCTTGTGCGTTGCTTGCTATTAAGACGGTATCATCAGCATATCTGACGTTGTTTATGCTGATTCCGTTAATCTTAATTCCGCCTTGGACCTGGTCTAATGCTTCTCTGATTATAGACTCCGAATACAAATTAAACAGTAGCGGTGATAAGACGCAACCCTGTCTCACTCCACGTCAGATTTGTATATTTTCGGATGTTGTGTGCTCGATTTCAATTGTTGCCGTTTGGTGCCAGTATAGTTCTGACATAATTCGCAACTTTTGTTCGTCAACTCCAGTTGTTCTCCAGAATTTCGATCATCTTTTGATGCTTAACACAGTCACATGCTTTTCGATAGTTACTAAAACATGCATATAGATCTACATTCATGTCTCTGCATCGTTGCGGTAACACATTTAAAGCAAAAGAGCCCCTCTTGTTCCCAATCCGTTTCGAAATCCGAATTGAGTGTCACTCATCTGGAACTCGCACTTCTTGTAAATTCGTGTATGGATAATTCTGAGAAAAGTTTTAAGGACATGAGACATCAAGCTAAATATTCGATAATCATCGCATTGTGAGGAATTCGATCTTTTTGGTAATGCTACGAATGTTGATTTTAGCATTATTTTAGCACATGACATAGCCAGTCTGTGTGCTCGATTTCAATTGTTGCCGTTTGGTGCCAGTATAGTTCTGACATAATTCGCAACTCTTGTTCGTCAACTCCAGTTGTTCTCCAGAATTTCGATCATCTTTTGATGCTTAACACAGTCAAATGCTTTTCGATAGTTAATAAAACATGCATATACATCTACATTCATGTCTCTGCATCGTTGCGGTAACACATTTAAAGCAAAAGAGCCCCTCTTGTTCCCAATCCGTTTCGAAATCCGAATTGAGTGTCACTCATCTGGAACTCGCACTTCTTGTAAATTCGTGTATGGATAATTCTGAGAAAAGTTTTAAGGACATGAGACATTAAGCTTAATATTCGATAATCATCGCATTGTGAGAAATTCGATCTTTTTGGTAATGCTACGAATGTTGATTTTAGCCAGTCTGTTGGTATTTTACCTGTGTCATATATCTTATTGAATAGTGCTGTGATTAAGTCTAGGCTTTTACTTTCGTTATCTGCAATTAGTTTTAGTATTTCGACGTTGATATTGTCTGGACTGGTGACTTTTCCATCTTTCTGAGATTTTACTGCGTGAATCACTTCTTCTTTGGTTATTTCTGGGCCTTTTTCATTTATTTGATTATCTGTGGATGGTGGAGAACAAGGTCTATCGTCTTCAAAAAAAATTTTGTACGTATTCTTTCCATCTCTCTAGTTTGTCTTCTGTACCCATAATTATTTCGTTATAATCATTTTTTTAATATTGTTGCTTGTCTCTTTTTGTGTCTACCTGTCATTTCTTTTACTTTTTATGAATATAAAAGGTGTCGTATTTTTTCTGAAGTTGTTCGATTTCTGGTATTTTGTTTTGTTGAAATCCATGTTTCTTTCGTCTCCCTTCACTTTTTTCTAATGATTTTATTGGTTCGCTTATATTCTATTGGACTTGTTTTATGTTTTCGTCTTACGGCCATGATCCTTTGCATTATCCATTCTTGTTTTTTGTTGTGTTTTATGAACCCGATGTCTTCTTCTTGTATCTTTGTTTTTAGAGCAGTCCATGTCACTTCAATCTCTTCAATCGTCTGTCTGTTCTAAGTTTTCGATCGTTTTTATTTCTTCCTTAAGCTTGATACTTATTTCTTTTTTCTGTTCAGGGTTCTTCAATTGTGAGATATCTATTTTTCTTGTCACTCTTTTCTTTTTGATTTTGAGAAATCTTTTTAACCTAAAATCCATTATAACTGGATTGT